GTGGGTCTGCTGTATCGAAATGACGGTTAGCGAAGTGTTGGAGGATGGAGTCGTCCTCGACTTGCCTTTTCCCTGGCAGGACCTCCCGCAGGCAACCCCAGCTTCTTGCACCCCGTCATCGCAGGGTGTGTGTGTCACGATCCCCTGTCCTGCCTGGATCGGCCTTGGTTATTTATCCTTTGCCTTTGGTAACCCTGCTCTTTCAGCCAGCCCGCTTTCAAAGTCATGTTTTCCCGAACAGTGTCAAGAAGACAAAAAGATGAAGCAGAAGCAGCAGCTGCCTAAAGGCTTTTTTGGGGAAAGAGCCTGGGTGTAAATAAATAAAAAATGGAACCACACAAAGAAAAAGATTTAAAAAAATCAAAGATAGAAGCTTTACTTCTGGCCTGGTTCTAAATGGCAGGCTCTTTATGAGCTTTGGGAGTGGGGCGGTTTTGGGTTTTTGCTTCCTTTTCTTCCTTTTCATGGTCTTGTAATTCCAAATTGGGAGAGGTGTTTTTTTAAACCTCGCCTGATCTTCGGGTGGAGCCACGGAAAGTGAGTGTCTTTGGAACATGCGAGTCAGCACCCTCCTGGCCCTGCCTGGCCCTGCCAGGGTTTGGCCTGCTCTGGCTCACCCCGATAGGATGATCTCTCCTAGCTCAGGAATGGAAACTGAGGCACAGAGTGTTAAGTTGCTTGCCCGAGGTAACACAGCCTGGTGGTGGCCGAGCTGGGATCTGAAGCCAGAGACCTACCATGTGTAGGAGCCGAGTGTGCCGGGCAGGTGGAGGAGTGGGGGGCCTGGGAGAGAGATGGATGCAGGCTGGGTGGGGGAGCCGGAGGGAGAGAGGACCCCAGAGGGCCCCTGGAACCGGCGCTGTAGGTGGAGGCTTAAGGGTGGGTGGGTTTGAAGACAGTTTAGTGGGGTGTAAGATCAGGTAGACTCGGGTCTCACTGGGGGTTCAGAGGACTGTGTGTCTAGCAGGTGGTCCCGCTGTGACCTGCCACCGCCGAAGACTTGGGTTAGATGTGGGTGGCAGGGAGGGTGCTGCACATAGCAGGTGCTCCGGACACGTTAGTGGGCTCTTCCCCACCCCCAGCGACAGTCAGGAGCGGGGTCACTGTGACCAGAGATGTGCACGGGTGACCCACGGGCCTTGAATGAGCCGTTCATGTTTACGTGCAGGGGGAGTCCACACGGAAGCTGCACAGCAGCTCTGCGGAAGACTCAGAACCCTCTGCGTCCCCTGCCTTCCTGCGGCAAGTGGGAACAGCTGTCCCCATGGCTGCAAGGCCTGCCAGACCTTCCTTGAGGTCTCCTTGCTCCCCCGGCCTCTCCTCCCTCCCCTCGCACCCCAGCGTTTCTCCAGGTCCTGTGCACCAAAGCCCAAGGCTGAGAGCGCCACATGGCCAGGTGATCCTGGGGCACCGGGCCCAGGCACAGCACTGGCAGTGACTCTGGCTGTCACCAGCCACCTCAGCCCTTCCTGTCCTGGTCTGGCTTTCTTTCCAGCCTGGTTGTTGATGCTTCCTCCAGGGGCCCCCCTGGGATCCCCCTGCAGTGAAAGCCTCCCTGTCCTCCAGGGCTGCCACGGGAAGCCTTGTCCCCTGCCCCTCTGTTAGCCGGGTGTCACTGTGAGTCCCCAGCTGAGTGCTCTGGGAGGAGGTCTTCTTGCTGCCCCAACACTGAAGCCGGGGAGACTGAGGCTTAGCAAGTGGAGGAGTGGGATTTGAACTTGGGCTGTGTGGCCTCGGCCTGGGCCTGGGCACTGTGGCTCTGTCTCCTCCTTGAGGACTTTGTTTGCCCCCGGCCACTGTGGGTGACAAGCCCCTTGGGAAGGCAGACCTGGCCCGGAGCCTGGTGGTTTTCATGAGTGCTTTTCTCATTTATTAAGGTCACAAAATCCCTGGCCCTGCTTAGTGGTATTTTTGATGTTCAAGGACAGTGTGGAATTTCTCTGTTTTATGTGACCCAGTTTCTGTGCTTTGAAAACGCCGATCCCTTCCTCCTCCCCTGCTGTGGTTTTGAAATCAAGTGAAGCTTCCTGCCCTGCGCCTGCCACTCAAAGTCCAGGGATGGGGACAGCGTCCCGTGCCTTATGACTCCGGGGTCTTTCCAGGAGGAGTCGGGGCACCCAGGACGACCACCTGCATGGCTCCTGTGCCCTCTGGGTGGCCTTACTCTTAAATGGATCTGGATCTTTGCTCTTCCTTGTATGTCACTGTGACCACTGCACATGGCCTTGGCCAGAAGGGAGCTCCCGGGCCTCTTCCATTCTCTTCTGTGTCCTCCTATGTGATGTGTGTAGCTGGCAAGTGGGACTTGGGAGTCCATGATCTTCTGCAGACCTCCAGTCACCAGGCTGCTGTGCAGTGAGGACTTTGGTGAATAACCTCCTTTTCTGCTCTTTAAGACTCGTTGCTAGCTGGTTATCTCAGTACTCTGGGAGGCTAAGGCAGGACGATTGCATGTTCAAGCACAGCCTGGGTAAATTAGCAAGACCCTGTCTCAAACAACCCCCCACCCAAATAAAACAAACAAACACTCAAAAACACATGGCTGGGGATGCTAATCCAAAGGCCCTGGGTTCAATTCCCAGTGTACCAAAAGAAAAAAAGAAAAAGAAACTGCACCTTGGATGTGACTATTTGTTGAACTTTGGTCTCTGTTTCCTCAACTGGCCTGGGTCACCATGGGGATCTTTGGAATATTTATAGGAGGTAGAGCAGATGGAGTCTCAGAAATCTATGCATTCATTGGAACTCACTGAGGCCTCTAGAGTTTTCTGCTGCAGAATTACTGTGAGGATTTGGGGATAAAAAGCTGAGGATTTGGGCATTGAAAGCCATCCATGCCTGGGGCCTGTGAGGGGAGCTCACGGTGGGTTGGACCAGGTGGGAATGCTGGGAACAGCAGGGCCACCTCAGACTGGAACAGCGCCTCACCTGGGGAAAGGCCCAGGGTGGGAGTGGGGATCACGAGAAAACACACAGAGCGGAACACTTACCATCTTAATCCGTTCTGAGTGCCCAGCTAAGCGGTATTGAGCACATCCACAGTGTGTGCAGCCCCCACCACCATCTGTCGCCAAACTAGAACTCTGCACCCATTAAGCATGCATCCTCCCAGCCCCGACCACCTTTCTTCTTTCATCTCTTTGCCTGTGACTGCTCTGTGTGCCTCATATAAGAGGAACAACAGTCTTTCTGTGGCTAACTTGATTTTCTGAGCACAATGTTCCCAAGGTCCATGTTGCAGCAAGTGTTAGAATTCCCTTCCTTTTCAGGGCTGAATAGTATTCCGTGGCACAGATGGGCTACATTTTGCTCATCCATTCTTCTGTCTGTGGATCTTTGGCTTATTTCTACCCTGTGGCTGTTGTGACCATTGCTGCTATGATCATGGCTGTAGGAGAGGCTCTACTTTTCAAAAAGCCGAGTATCAGGGCTTTCACTGATTTTTTTTTTTTTTTGGTACTGGGGATCAAACTCGGGTCCTTGCGCTTTCGAAGCAGG